CTCCATCCTTTAGTGTGTTCTGCTGCTGTTGCTGCTGCTGCATGTGCTTGCTGCTGCTGCTGTTGTCAGCAGCAGGAGAGACACGAGCTGTTCTTCTCCTCAGTATGCCTGTCTGTGCCCCTTGTGGCGTTTTCTTCGACTGTTGTTGTTTTTGCTGCTGCTGCTGCTGTTGCTGCTGCTGCTGCTGCTGCTGTGTAGGTGCAGCAAGCCCCCGCTGCACTGAACAGCCAAGCCGCTGCAGCAGCAGCAGCGCTGCTTCCTCTGCTATTAATGTTGATCGTTGCCCTCTTAGATCGAAGACATGAACAAGACAACCCTCCAGACGCCAGGGTCTGCTGCTGTTGCTGCTGTTGCTGCTGCTGTTGCTGCTGCTGCTGCTGCTGTGTTCTGCTTCAATATAGAGCGACAGACGATCTTGCAAGCAGTCAAGGAATTGCTGCAGCACAAGGGTTTCTGTTTGCTGCCCGCTGCTGTCATCTGTTGCTGCCTGGTTGTGCTGCTGCTGCTTCTCCTGCTGCTGCTGCTTCTCCTGCTGCTGCTGCTGCTGTGCATCAGCAAGGTCTATTCTTCCTCCCTTCGCAAACATGGCAATTTGCTGTTCTAGTTGAGAAGCAGCAGCAGCAACTTCGGCTGCTGCTGTTGTTGCTGCCGTTGCTGCTGTTGCTGCTGTTGCTGCAGCAAGACCTTCAAACAATTCGGATGGAGATAGGAAGAGGCAGCTGCCTCCATTGATTTGCTGCTGCAGTTGCTGCAGCTGCTGTAGCTGCTGCTCCCCTTCCACCTGTTTTGTACTGAGCTGCACAGAGCTTCCTTCCTGCTGCGGTTGCTGCTGCTCCTGCTGCAGGAACCGCAGCTGGCCCACCTCCCTGCATGCCTTGAGCAGCTTCTGCAGCTGCAGCAGCACTGATGGAGGTGTCCTTGACAGCAACAGCAGCAAACATCCAACGTGGCGAGCAAGGAATCGGCGACAGGTGGAGAGCCTGCTGCTGCTGCTGCTGCTGCTGTTGCTGCTGCAGCCTTCATATTGCTGCACAGTTGGAGCTTGAGCATCCGAAATATCAGCAGCAACAGCAGCACCGCTACATCCCTCAGCTGGCACTGAACCTGTTTGCTGCTGCTGCTGTTGCTGCTGCTGCTGCTGCTGGGGGAGACAACGGTCACAAGACAGCAGCAAGCAGTGGTCCATTGGTTCATGTGCATTGAGCAGCCGCTGCGGCTGTTTAATGAATCCTTTACGGTGTATATATATATAAGATAAAATAAAATATATATAACATACACTTGCGTCCCCGTCCTCTCCCTGCAGCACCAGCAGCACCAGCAGCAGCAACAGCACCAGCAGCAGCAGCCGCAGCAGCAGAAGACGGGTTGGTTTCATCACGTGAGAGAATCTTAACATGCAGCAACAGCAGCAGAAACAGCAGCAGCAACAGCAGCACCCGAGTACCCAAAACCGAGGCAACTATAGCAACACCAGCAACACCAACAGCAGCAGCAACAGCAGCAGCAGCAGCAGCAGCAGCAGCAGGTTTACGGCAAGCCTTAGTAAGGACTCAAGGGTTAATAGAGCAGCATGAGGGGAAAGAAATCTGCCCATAGAAAGAGAATGTATTAATGGCAACTGCAGCAGCAAATCATCTGCTGCTAACTCCTCTAGAGCTGCCTGTACACCCGGGGAGGTATACTGCAGCAAACCGCTGCAGCAGCAACACACACAAACACACCCCACACAATATATAGCATGCATGCAGCAGCAGCAGATGCAAATGCATGCAATCCAGTAACATCTTATACACATGCATGCCACGACACATTCAACTGCTGCTGCTGCTGCTGCTGCTGTTGCTGTTGCGTTGCTGCTGCTGCTGCTCACCACAAAGCTTTGGTTACCGAACGAGAGGAGTTAAGTGCCTCCTGTGGCTGCAGCAGCAGCCAAGGGGCAATCCGCTGCAGCAGCTTCTGCAGCAGCAGCACGAGCTGCAGCAAGGAAGGAAGAGGAGATAAGAAAGTTAATGCAGCAGCAACATCATGTAGTCCTTGCCAGTAACAAACATTATACATTAAGCAGCAGCAACGGAGAGCAGCAGCAGCAAGTTCCTTCCTCGTATCTGCTGCTGCTGCTGCTGCTGATGTTGATGGTGCTGTTGTTGCTGCTGTAGGGGAAGCAAGCAGGGTCTCGCTGCTGGAAGCTGAGGAGCGCTCCTGCTGCAGCAGGAACAGTACGTCCTCCTTCTGCAACAGTTGCTGCTCCTGCTGCTGCAGTAGCCGCTCGTGCTGCTCCTGCTGTTCCTCCTGCTGCTGCTGTAAATCGGGGTCAATGTCTTCTTCTGCTGCTGCTGCTGGATGCAGCCAACGCTGCCGCAGCAAATCACCATCAATGAGGTGTAGATCCAGCTGCAGCAGCAGCAGCACAGCAGCAGAAGCAGCAGCACAGCAGCAGAAGCAGCAGCACAGCAACAGCGCTAAATAAAGCTTTCCCCAGGAGAAGCAGCAGCAGCAGCAGCAACAAGAACAGCAGCAGAACCAGCAGCAAAAACAGCAGCAGATAGTATTATGCTGTTCCTTACCTCCTCTTCGTGTTCAGTTGCATCTGCTCCTTTTTGTGTGGCTGCTTCTTGCTGCTGCTGCTGCTGCTGCTGCTGCTGCTGTTGTTGTTGCATGTGCTCTATGACCTTCTCTGCTGCTGCTACTTCTGCTGCAGTAGCAGGCAGCAGCTTGAGCCATTTATCTAGGGACAGGAAATCGCCGTTGCTGCTGCTGCTGCTGCTGTTGCTGCTGCCTTCAGGTGTCATTGAAGTGTATGTACACCTTGAATAGTCTGCTGGCATGTCGCCAGCAGCAGCAGCAACAGAAGCAGCAGCAGCAGCAGCAGCTGGAGAAGCAGGGGAACTGTAAATAATATCATCTGCTGCAGTGGTCTCGGAAGCAGCAGCAGCATCAGTACACGGTGTTGCTGCTGCACTTGTTGCAGCAGTTTCTGCTGCTGCTGCTGCTGTTGTAGCTGCTGCTGCTATTGCTGCTGTAGGCAGTGATGCAGCATCACTTCCTACCTGTGTCGCTGCAGCTGTTGCTGCTGGTAATGCTGTTGCTGCTGCTGCTGCTTTCGCTGCTGCTGAGGTTGCTGCTGCTGAGGTTGCTGCTGCTGCTGCTGCATCAGCTGCTGGTGCAGGGTAGTCCCGTTGCTGCTCTGCAGCTCCTTGGGTCTGGCGTCCGTCCTTCACTGCAGCATTTGTTGCAGCATCAGCTGCTGCTGCTGCTGCTGCTGTTGGGCTTGTTGTTGCAGCTGGTGTTACTGCAGTTGGTGCTCCTGCTGCTGCTGTTGCTGCTGCTGTTGTTGCTGCTGCTGCTTTGCCTCCTTTCTCTGCTTCTGCTGCAGCAAGGAAGTAAAATTTTCCCTCGGATTTCCCCCCAAACTCAGCAGCACTTTGCTGCTGCAGCACAACTGGTGCGCCGCTGCTGCTGCTGCTGCTGCTGCTGTTTTTGTCGTTGCTGATGCTGCTGCTGCTGCTTGTATTGTCGTTCCCGCCTCTACTCGCGCTGCTGCTGCTGCTGCTGGCGCCGCTGATGCTGGTGCTGATGCTAGTGCTGGCAGTGCTCCTGCTGCTGCTGTTGTTGCAGTTGCTGTTGTTGTTGCTGCTGCTGCTGCGTCTCTGCTGCTCATACCACCCTGAGTAACTACTATCTTCTTCGAAATCGGCGGAGGTCATGAAGGTGCTGCTGCTGCTGCTGCTACTTTTGCTGCTGTTGCCGTTGCTGCTGCTGCTGCTGCTGTTGCTGTTGCTGCTGTTGCAGCTGCTGGCGCAACTGTACTCGCTGCTGTTGTCATTTACGTAGAGCCTCTGACTACTGCTGCTGCTGTTGCTACTGCTGCTGTTGCTGCTGCTGCTGTTGCTGCTGCTGCTGCTATTGATGCTGCTGTTGCTGCTGCTGCCACTATCTTCCATTACTTTGCGCAGACGGTTTAAGGCAACGGCCGGTAGCATCTGCGACTCTTCCTGCTGCTGCTGCTGCTGCTGCAGGTGCTGCCGCTGCTGCAGCTGCAGCAGCAACTGTTGGTACTGCAGTCGCTGGGTGGGTGACCTTGGGCTCACGCATGCAGCAACTAATCTGCTGCTCGTGGCAGCAGTAAAGCTTCGTAGCCTAGCAGCAGCAACAGCATCTACTGCTGCTGCTGCTGCTGCTGCTGCAAGAGCATCAACCTCCTCTTCTCCTACGTATGTTTCAGGCAATGAACGAATCGGAATCCGTTGCTGCTGCTGCTGCTGCATGTTCTGCTGCTGTTGCAGCAGGTGCTGCTGCAGCTGTTGCTGTTGCCGCTGCTGCTGCTGCAGCGCAGCAGCAGCAGCAAGAGAGGCAGCCCCTTGAGCCGGCTGAAAAGAGAGCTGGTGCGCTGTCTTAATAGTTTCCTCTTTTGCCGTTGCTGCTGTTGTTGCTGCTGCTGCTGATGCTTTTGCTGCTGCTGCTGCTTTTGCTGCTGCTGCTGCTTTTACTGCTGCTGCTGCTTTTGCTGCTGCTGCCAAATTTTCTTCTGCTGCTGTGCATGTGCTGCCGTCTGACGATGCCATGCCAAAGATTGGGTATGATATTGCGGGCTTGGTGTTGCTGCTGCTGCTGTGTTGCTGTTGCTGCTGCTGCTGTGGCTGTTGCTGCTGCTGCTGCGGCGGTTGCTGCCACAAGTTCTGCTGCAGAATTGGGGGGTGCAGCACCAGCTGCGGTACTGCTGCAGGCAGTCGCGTGGGTTTGTTGCTGCGGGCTTTGCTGCTGCTGCTGACACAGCTGCTGCTGTTGTCGCTGCTGTTGCCGCTACTGCTGCTGCTGTTGCTGCTGCTGCTGCTGCTTTGAGGCTGCTTCCGGAGGCTAGAAATGGCGCGGCGAGCAAAGGCGGGAATCTGTCGATAAGGAGACAGGTGAGGCAGTACCTGCTGTTGCTGCTGCTGCTGCGTTTTCTGCTGCTGCTGTTGCTGCTGCTCAGACGAATGAAACGGCTGCTGCTGCTGCTGCTGCTGCTGCAACAATATGGGAGACACATGCAGGCGTAAAGGTCCTGTTTGCTGCTGTAAGTTATCCTGAAGCCGTAAGGAACCCAAGGGAAGGCTGCTGCTGCTGCTGCTGCTACTGCTGCAGTTGTTGCTGTTGCTGATGTTCTGCAAAGAGACAGGTGCGCCTCTTATTTCGTTGCTGCTGTTGTCATTGCTGCTGCCAGTGTTGGTAGTGCTGCTGCTGCTGCCTCTGTTTCTGTTGTAGTCAACAGAAACAGCAGCAAGCGCTGCAGCGCTACCCTCAGCCTTTCTTAGCTGGGAGAAGGCGGGTACATCCTGCTGCTGCTGCTGCTGTTGCTGCTGTTGCTGCTTGTGCTGCTGCAGCTTCATGTGCTGTTGCAGCAGCTGTTGCTGCTGCTGTTGCGCCAATATGGGGGAGGTACTGCCGTGCCATGGCTGCTGGTGCTGCTGCTGCTCCGGCTTCTGCTGCAGCAGATGAGCCTTCAAGATTGTGGTGCCTCGCAGCAACCCTTGCTGCTGCTGCTCCTGCTGTGATTGCCACTGTTGCTGTTGCTGCTGCTGTTGTTGTTGTTGTTGTTGCTGCTGCTGCTCCTGCTGCTGCGCCTGCTGCTGCTCCTGCTGCTGCCCGTGGAGCCCCCGTGGCGAGACGAGCTGCTGCTTCTCTCGTGACAGGTCAAGCATTTGCTGCTGGTTAAAAAGCTGTTGCTGCTGCTGCTGCTGTTGCTGCTGCTGCTGCTGCTGTTCCTTCCATGTTGGCTGTGCAAATGCGTGAGGTTGCCGTGGAGAGGTTGGCCGCTGCTGGTGCTGCGGCTGCTGCTGTCCCTGCAGCAGCTGCTGCTCCTGCAGCAGCAGCTGCTGCTGCATTGGCTCCGCTATCTGAGACATCTTAAGGCCGGCGAAGCAGTTGCAGCAGCAGCAGTTGCTGCAGCAGGGATTGTGCTGCTGCCGCTGTCTTGCAAGGTTATTGCTGCTGCTGTTGCTGCTGCTGCTGCTGCTGCTGCTGCCTTTGCTGCAGCTGCTGCTTTTGCTGCTGCTGCTCCTGCCACCTCAAAGCCTCCCCCAGCAGCCTCAAGACCGTCCAACTGAGGGGCCACCTGGGAGGAGCAGCTGCAGCAGCTGCAGCAGGGCTGCTGCTGCTGCTGCTGCTGCAGCTGCTGCGGCCTCCGTTGCTCTAGCAGCTGAGTGGGGTAGAAATCGTTGAGTAGACGTAGTCAAGGGCAGTTGCTGCTGCTGTCTGGCATGAGGTGTGCGTACACCTAAAGAATCTGTGAACCGGTCGGTATTGCTCCTGCTGCTGCTGCTGCTGCTGTTGCTGCTGCTGCTGTTGCTGCTGCTGCTGGTATGGTCCCCCCACACCACCTTTTCCCTGCTGGAATAAAAATGAATTAAATTGACTCAAAGGTTTATTTTGATGCTAAAAATAAACAAAAAGAATTTCTTTTTATTACAAAACTCTGCTGCAGTGTCACTGCAGCCGACTGCTGCTGCTGCTGCTGCTGCTGGATTTTTTCCTCTTATTCTTCTCCTTCTTCTCCTTCTCCTACTTCTTTTTCTTGCTATTTTAATTGTATTTTAAAACAATTAAAATTAATTTAATTAACGAATTAAATTAAAAATATTTTTCTTATAAAGGAGCAGCAAAAGGGAAGAAGCCCAGGGCTCCTCCGCCTCCGCAGCCGCTGCTGCTGCAGCAGCTGCTGCTGCTGCTGGTCTGTTGCAGCACACGCGACCTTCAGCTGAAATTCTTTAAGATATAAATAAATAATAATTTTATTTTATTCTTTTTTTAATGATATGATGGGTAAGGGATCTCTGCATGCATATTCAGGTGTACAGGCAGCTATCCTCCTATGGTCCTGTACAAATGACTTTCTTCTGTTCCTTTGTGGGGCTATAAAACAAACAAAAAAAGGATAAAAGGAATTAAAATTATGCATGCATGCGGTGTATAAATGTATAAAGATGCTGCTGCTTTCTTCTGCAGCAAAAAGGTTATGAGACAGGCGCTGCTGTGTCTTGTCTTGTTCTTAAACCCTAAACACTAAACCCTAAACCCTAAACCCTCAACCCTAAACCCTCTAACGCCTCCACAGCCTTCCTCATCCCGTCTTAATTCCTCTCACAGTTGCAGCAGCTACCTGCAGCTACGTACAGCTAGCTGTCGCTAGGTGTACACAGCTGCACGAGTTTAGTACCTACAGGCAGGTTACTACAGTTAGCTAGCTGTACTAAGGTGTACTAAGGTGCATATATATATATATATATATATATATATATATATA